TCCTGCTTTGCCTGTTCTCCCTTTCTCTGTTGCTTTTCTTTTTCGGTGTTTTCTCTGATCACCGATGTTTTCCTTTTGTTTTCGTCCGTTTGTTGTCTCTCCCTTTTTATCGTTGCTCCCTCTCTTTCTCTCCATATTTATGCGTGGGTTTTTAAGTATGTATATATGCATGAATATAAATATGCAGTAAATGATATAAGTTAATATATGTATATATACTGCTAATGTATACATGAGTGATAATATATATATATATATATATATATATATTATATATATATATTATATATATAATATATATATAACATATATATATATATATATATTATATATATATATATATATATATATATATATATGTTTTGTGTTGTGTGTGTGGGTGTGTGTGTTGTGTGTGTGTGTGTGTGTGTGTGTGTATATGGGTGTATATATATATATTATGTATATATATATATATATATATTATATATATATATATATATTATATATATATATATTATATAGAACAATATATTTATGTATATATGTATAGTATATATAAGTATATATAGAATAGTATAATGTGAATATAGAGAATATACATATGTATGTACTATATATAAAAATAATTAATATAAGTGTACACTATTATATTGTTGAGAGAATTGACGCGCGCGCGCGGCGCGCTGTGTGTGTGGTGTGCTTCGCGATTGTGTGTGATGATGTTGCGTAGAGTTTGTGGTGGTGAAGTGTGTGTGTGTATGTGTGTGTGTTGTGGTGTGTGTGGTGGTGTGTGCATGCATATAGTACGTGTATATATTATATATGTTAGAGATGAGATATAGACTCAGATATAGATATCTTGAAGAGAGATAATATGACGATATATACACCAGATATTTATGATATATATGTATGATATATGTAGTGTAGTATATGAATATATATAATATATAGAGCATATATCGTACTATGCTATAAGACTTAATATAGAGATATAGATAGATAATATATGGATATAGATATATATAGAATAAGATGAGTAATATAGATTAGTAATATATATATATAATTTATGCACGAAACCAAAACATTACTTATTGTGTGTGTTGTGGGTAGGGTGTACATAGATATATACGATGAGGAGAGAGAAGAGAGGAGATATGTATGTGGATGAAACAAAGACGGGATAAGAGGAAAGAGAGGTTATATATGTGTGTGATGTGATACATAGAGTATAATATATATATATATTATATTATAATATATATATTATATATATAATTGATGACACAAAAATATAAATTATAATGTGTGGTTGTGTGTGCTGTCACTCTATTTATGTTGTATTATGCTAGAGTATACAACAAATATAGCATTAACGATCATTTATACAAGCCAAAGAGATAAAGGAAATAAGACTGCTTTATATAAATGTAGAGATATGATAGTAGAGATAAGAGATATATTATATATATTAGTATTTAGATATATCATGAATATTATGTATATACATGTTGTATAACATAGGGTATTATAGCAATAGATTATGAATATAGTTATAGATATATATATAGTAATATATATAGTTATATATATATAGTATTATATATATGTTGAGATAGATATTTATGTCGTGTGTAGGTGGGTGTGTGTGTGGTGGTGTGATGATGTGTGTAATATATATGATAACAAGATATAGATTATACTGATGAAGTACACGATATATGATATGGATATTGTATATCTATATCTATCATATTTCCGTCAGAGTCTCGTACGATGATAATTAATGATGTAAATAAACATAATAGATTATAATTATATATGACTATAGTATATGTATAGTAGTAAGATTTATATAATATAGGTAGATGGATAAGTAAGATTAGATATGTATGTGTGTCGTATTTATTTATATGTGTTATCTATTATCTATCTATCTATCTATAACACCAACAGATGTATATATAATATTTTATATATAGTTATATATATGATATAGTAGTATATATGTATTATATATATGGGTAGATTATATATATATGTATAGAGAGATTATATTAATAATATATTATTATATATTTATATATACACACCACATATTTATATATGCATAATGAAGAAACTAATTATATTATAGATATATATATATATATATATTATATATTTAAGTATATATTATACTACAATATACATATATATTATTATATATATATATAATATATATTATATATATTTAGATATATATAGTATATACTATACATACAAATATAATATATATATCTATTATAATATATATAATACTCATATACATATATACATTTAATATATATATATATATGCATATCCATATCCCTTTTATTCTCTAATCTCTGTCTCTCCGTTTGCATTCCCTTCCCGTCAGACGTTTCAGTTTCGGATTCCATTGTGTCCACCGCGCCAGGAAGGTAAAACTCAAATCTTTTATGTTAATTATCTGGTCTTCTCTTAGCACGAAATACAGGATTATCCAACATTTTTCTCTTTCTTTATTTCCTCGTCGTCTCATTTTTCTCTCTGGTTGTTTTTTGGTTTTTATCTCTATTGATATATATATATGTATATGGATTAACAACCTTATCTGCAGAGCTATATAAGGACAACACATACAGGAATATGAGTCACGGGGGGGAAGATAGTGCGATCCCAGCCCTCTCTCCTTCCCCCTCTCCCTCCTCCTTCTCCCTCTTCCCCCTCCCGCCTCCCTCTCCCCAACACGCCCACGAAGAGGAAATATGGGATGTGGGGCGGCTGAGAGGGAGGGGGTGGGGGGGTGGGGGGTAGATAAGATTTTAGGGTGGGGGGGAGGGAGAGGGAAGAGGGAGAGGGAGGGGAGGGAGAGGGAAGAGTAATAGATACGAAGAAAGGAAATGACAAGAAATGAATAGGGGGGGGGGTAGAAGGGAGGAATAAGAGAGGAGTGAGTGAGAGAGAGAGAAAGAGAGAGAGAGAGAGAGAGGGGGGGGAGGAAAATATGATGATAAAGTAAAAAAAGATACAAAGAAAAGATAGAAAAATGAAAGGAAGACACAAAGGAAAGGAGAGAATAAACCGAGAAAGAGATAAAACAGAGAGAGAGGAGAGAGAATATGAGGATAAGAATTAAAAGAAAGAAGGAACAAAGAAAAAACAGAAAATTGAAAATGGGCAAAAAAGGGAAAAGATAAACCAAGGAAGAGATAAAAAGCGATAAAACAGAGAGAGAAAGAGAGAGAAAGAAAGAAAACAGCTTGCCCACCTCCAACACTGGGAATTCTTTCAAGAAATAAAAACAGTTTATTTTTCTTAATTTTCTTATCTTATATCTTCTTTTCTTTTCCTTTTTTTGTTCTTCGTTACTCTTATCATTCTTTTTTTTTTTATTCTCCATCACTTTTTTTTTTATCTAATTATTAGTTTCTTGATCTCTTTTTAAATTATTTTCTTAACGTTTTCTTTGGGGGAGGGGGAGGGGGGGTACACCTCAGCCAGTATAGTATATATATATATATATTTCTATTTTTTTCTTCTCTCTTTCATTATTTTAGGTAGAATTCATGGATACAGGAGTAAATACATTTTATATAATTTTCGTGGGGTCTATATTTATACATATGCATGATAATATGACGTATAGGTTATCAAAATAAAACTTATATAAAAATTTCAAAATCATCACCACCTGTTCGTTTAATTCAAAAAATAAAACATATATTAAACAAACTAGACACTTTCTTTATATTCATTTTTATTGACATAGGATTATGGTTTCAAAATACGGAGAAAATGTAACTCTGTCAGATGTTTCTTTTTTTTAAACTCTAGGTGAATAAATGATATATTTTACTTAAAAAAACAAGAGGGAAAGACACAACACAATAAGCTAAACAGAAAACAAACAAGCAAACATATGTATATATCTTTAAGGGAAGGGATACTAACAAAATAAATAAATAACAAGAAAACTCGAGAAAAGAACCATCGACTAAGCTTCGAACATTCGAGTCGAAACAGATGACACAGTTACACGTCTAGTCATTTTTAAAACATATTTTTAGATTTTTTTTTTTAGAGTTCTTGCTCGATGTTGCAGCCAAGGCGTTGCAGCCATTGCCTTGATCTCTCTAGTTGACCTTATTCGACCTTATTGCTGGCTTCGACCGAAACGGAGGAACACGTGGTCCAAGTCTTGTCGCTTCACTTCGGGTTCGTTGATTGGCATGCTGTTCCGAATCACTGAAACAGAAGGAGTCGAGTCAGCTGTTTATTCGCACAATTACCACTGTTATTGTTGTTACTATTACTGCCTTCATTAAGTCTATAGATGTATTGAATATATTGAGACTGGCTTGTAACCGGAGGCGTAGACATTGGAGACAAACAAGAGTTGATAGGAAAAGAAATATACGTATATATATACATACAGATTATGTGCGTATAAGCATCGTGGCTGTTTGTAAGTGTGTGCGTGCGTGCGTGTGTGTGTGTGCGCGCGTGTGTGTGTGTGCGTGTATGTACGTGCATAATAAAACACATGCAAACTCAACTATCAACAGAAATAACAAAATAACCCATTCCGACCCATGGTAAAAGGACCCCTCCCTCCTTCCCCCCCCCCCTTTGTGTTGTGTTCACAGGCATAAATTCAATGGCTGTTAAGACACAATTATCATTTCTTTTTTTTAATGCCATTTATCGTGCCCCACAGCTGATCTTTTTATGCGTTCTGATAATAAGAGCCAATTCCCTAATGGTGCCAATTATGTGTGCAAACGAGGGTTGTTTGAATAATAATTTGTTAACCTTAGCGGCTGAGTCAGCTGTTAGTGTCGTAATAATATGTTGATTTTTTTTTCATGCATAACGAACTCTTTAATTGGCTTATGGATGAGGTCAGTAGCTTTTCTTCTCTATGACCTATATTCTAATTTCGTTATGCATCTTTTATTGTCCGTTAGTGATGACTATGCACTTTGTGTGCCTTTGTTGTTGTTGTTATTCCTGCCGGTTATTTGTACTTTCTTTAATCGTTTTATGATCATTTTATTATTTTATTATTATTATTATTATATTATTATTATTATTATTATTATTATTATTATTATTATTATTATTATTATTATTATTATTATTATTATCATTATGTAACTTTGTTCCGTGGTTCTTAATTTTAAATTATTTATCTTTATAAATTACATTTCCATTTTTTTACTGTACGATAGTTCTTCCAGTCACTCGACGACAGATGTACGATAACTAGCCGACCGCTTCGATACTTGAATGTAGTCATTTCCATTATCAATTGCAAGTCATTAGGGTAGGATAAAGGGGGGGAGGGGGAAGGGGGGGACGGCCTCAAATACCATCTATTTGAAGATGTTGTATTGCCTTCCGAACTTTTCTTGTGGGTTTAAATGTTGCAGTTCAATACGGAGAGCAATTGCCGTTTCATTTCGTCTTGTTTACTTTTTCTTCGTTTGATGTCGATGTTGCGGCTCAATTTCTCGATCTTGTTATTGTTTTTTTTTTTGTGTTGTTGTTGACTGGCGGGTTAATGAACTCCTTTACATTCCTATCCATCCGATAATTCCTTTTGCTCTGCCCTCTCAACAGGCAATTTCCCTTTATTTATCATTCAATCCATCAAAATAACTTTTTTTCTTTCGCTCAGCACAAAATGGAAAGAACCACCGTATGGCAACACTCCCATCGCAGAATTTTTAAAGCATTTTGATTAAAATTTTCAAGAATAAAATTAAACTCATAGACTGTGTTTCGAGTGATTGCTAAGGTACTCCTCAGGGCTACTTACAGTTGTAATAACTTTATTTGAGCGAAAGAAATTATTTTCTTATGAATTCCTGTGATTATGAGAATTTGAAAATAGGTATATTTATAATAATGGTCCTTATCATTGTATTTTGTCATTATTATTATTACTTCTATTTCTTGTTAATAATGATATCATGATTACCGTTATTAATTGCATAATCATCATCATAATTAGTGTTCCTATAGTTGTTATTATTGTGATTATTATTATCAGTGTTATTACTATTACTGTTATCATTTATTATGGTTGTTGTCATTATCATTATTATCATTACTATTATTGTTGTTTTTCATCCCTGTAAAATAATTACAAAGCAAAGTCCTCAAAACATATTGAATAAATCATTTTACTATTACAATATTATTATCATTATCATTATCATCTCAATTATTATTTCCATCATTAGTAAGATATTATCGTCCACGTTTTTTATTCACTTGTATTCAAGATGGGATAAATAAGTAAATAAGAGATAGCCGGGAATCATGATTTCACAAATGACTGATAATAACACAGGCTTTAAATAGTCAAGCTTAATGACGTCATTAGCAGAACAGCTGACTGGCTCGTGTTCATAAAACGAGGCAATTCAGGTATAAAAAGGGACTTACTGATGACTTCATGTTTGCGTAATCGAGTCAATAATTGATTCGATGTGAAGTGTTGTGATGTTTGTAGATAAAAGAAAAGAAGGATAAAATGGAAGAGAGTAGATATGGATAGAATAGATGTGTGTGTTTGCGGGTGCCGTGTGTGTGGTGTGTGTGGTGTGTGTTTGTGTGTGTGTGGCGTGTGTGTGGGTGAGGAGAGGTGTTGTTGTGGTGTGTTTGTGTAGTTGTGTGGTTTGTGTACCCTGATTATGGTATGACGGAAGAATTAAAAAGATAGAACGGCCCGGTGCCATAACTTTTGGGTCGTATCCTAATTTGACCCCTAACTTTTGAATGGTCCAGGTCCAACGAAATAAACACGGTTGGATTCCTGATATTCTAAAAAAAAAATCTATTTCGTTGATGTTATTATTTCTTATTTCATTATTCTCATGTTTATTGTTTTAAATTTTTATTTTGATTATTCATTAATACATAAATTTTATTTTCTCTGTTTGGCTGTCTGTCTTCCTGTCGACGTCTGTCTGTGCTGTAACTGTCTGTCTGGTACTCTCTCCTTCTCTAATCTCCTTCCTTCCCCCCTCTCTCTCTTAATATCTTATGATGCAACTCTATCTTATCTTATGTGTTGTCTTCTCTTCTCTGTGATTATTTATAGTATCATCATTCATTGTTATTCTCTCTCTCTCTCTTCGCTCTCTGTGGTTGCTCTGTTCTCTCTCTCTCTCTTACTCTCTCTCCCTCTCGTCTCTCTTCTCATCTCTATCCATGCTCTCTCTCTCCTCTCTCTCTCCTCTCGCCGCCTCTCTCTACCACATACGCAGCTATCTACACACAAACTACTACTACCATACATACACATCAAAATCAGAACACAACTAATCACAATCAAGTAGTAACGTTTTAGATTCGCTAAAATAAAACTATATATTAACAATGACTCAGGTAAACTTATATATTTATAATATTTAATACATAACTGCTGCTTACGGTATTCTATAAAGCCTTTGTTTATATTATATATATTATGTGTGTGTACGTATGATATATTAAATT